GAAAGGACAGGCTCTTCAACAAATGTCCTGGGAAAACTGGATATCCACATGCAAAAGAATGAAGTTGGACCCTCCTCTAACACCACATACAAAAATTAATTCAAAATAGATCAAAGACCTAAATGTAAGATCTAAAACTATAACTCTCCTAGAAAAAAAACATAGGAGGAAAGCTTCATGACATTGGATTTGGCAATGATTTCTTGGCTATGACACCAAGAGCACAGGTGACAAAAGAAAAAAATAGATAAACGGGATTACATCAAACTTAAAAACTTCTGTGCATCTAAGGATGCAATCAATAGAGTGAAAAGGCAACCTGCAAAATGGGAGAAACTATTTGCAAATCATATATCTGATAAGGAGTTAATAGCCAGAATATATAAAGAACTACAATTCAATAACAACAAAAAACAAATAACCCAATTACAAATTGGGCAAAGGGCTTAAACAGACATTTCTCCAGAGATGATATGCAAGTGGTCAATAAGCACATGAAAAGATACTTAGCATCACTAATAATTATGGAAATGCAAATCAAAACCACAAGGAGATATCACTTCACATCCATTAGGATAGCTGCTATCCAAAAAACAGATAATTACAAGTGTTGCCAAGACTGTGGAGAAACTGGAACCCTTGTGCACTGTTGGGAATGTAAAACAGCATAGCTATTACAGAAAATGGTATAGTGGTTCCACAAAAAATTAAAACTGGAACTACCATATGATTCAGCAATCCCACCTCAGGCAATATATCCAAAAGAATTGAAAGCAAGACCTTGAAGAAATATTTACATACCCATGTTTATAGCAGCATTATTTGTAATAGCCGAGAGGTGGAAGCAACCCAAATGTCCACTGATGGATGAATGAATAAACAAAATGTGGCATATATGCATACAGTAGAATATTCTACATCCTTAAAAAGGAAGGAAATTCTGACACATGCTACAACATGGATGAACCTTGAGGACATTGTTCTAAGTGAAATAAGCCAGTCACAAAAAGACAAATATGCTGTGATTCCATTTATATGAGGTATCTAGAGTAGTCAAATTCATGGAAACAGAAAGTAGGATGGTGGTTGCCAAGGGCTGGGAGTAGTGGCGAATGGGGAGTTGTTGTTTAGTGGGCACAGAGTTTCAGTTTTGCAAGATGAAAGAGTGCTAGAGATTGGTTGGACAACAATGTGAATATACATAACACTACTGAACCGTACACTTAGAAATAGTTAAGATGGTAAATTTTATGGGTTTTTTTTTACTACAATTTAAAAGAAAAACAACATAGTTAATTACAATCCATAGAAACTCTCAAACCTCTTTTTAGTCTCTGAGCTCATCCTTCTTCCTATATATGTTACAAATCTGCTAACAAACAGGAAAAACAGTGTCTGGTTTTAGTTTCCTCTTTTTCACATATAAAGCCCATCTTCCTGCGGAGGTGCCATTAAACAGGTTAAGGCACCTCCCACCACACCTCACTGCACCCAACCCAACCTATCCCCTGACAACTTAAAAGGCAAATTCACAGGTTATGTTACCCTCAACAAGAGTTTATTCGGGACTAGGCACAAGAATTGCAATTGGGGTTGTGCATGTTATGGCAAACCATAGGCAAATTCAGAAAACAAAGGAGGGAAGCTACCTTTATACAGAAAAAGGGAGAAGAAGGGGCTGTTCTAACAGACAGTCCATTGGGGGCAAGTAACAGTTCAGGGCAGTAACCACTTCTCATTGGCTGAGCTGCGGTGTTTCTTATCGGCTGGGCTGTTGCCAAGTCGGGAGAGAAATCTTCCTTCAGTAGTAAAGGAAGGTAAAGATGCAAGTGTCCCTCTCTTCTTGTTTAGTGTAACTGACGTTCTGTGCTAGGGCATGAGAGTTCCCTCTACAGGCCTTCCCAATTCCAATTTAATTAAGGTTACTTTTGTTAATATCCACACCCCCCAACACACACTCTGACCAGGAAGGCAGATGGATAAGGGGGACCAGGTTAACATACAGTGTCTGCACTACAGTAAAATGACTTGAACATCTGTAATCTGAGGAATTCTAAACCATCCACTTGCTGTCTCAGCTCATCCTCATATTAATTTTGTGAGATAATAGAAGGAAGGTAATATTATTCCCTTGTATAAATATGAAACTAGAAACACATAGATCTTCAGGTGCACATGTCCATCCTGTACTTGAGATCACTGTTTTGCAAAGGTCCTATGCTACTTTGCTGGCATAAAACCACATTTAGAACCCAGAACTACTCCTAAAAGTTCAAATATTTGTTTTAGTTACAAGTATTTGTTTTGATTGGAAAGCATCTCCAAAATGAGCATTGGTTTCAGTAATTGAAACAAAGCAACCATTTGTTTTGAAGTTTTCCCTATTAAAAAAAAAAAAATGTGTAGGGAATAGAGTGGCACAGATCCAATATACATAAACAAAAGACAATTTGAATAGGCTTACCGGCAGGAAGTGGCTTAAATTGTTTCCAAAGTTGTATTCTGTTGTTTAGATCAGCAGTCAGCCTGCTCTAGATGTCTGTTGTTTAGATCAGCAGTCAGCCTGCTCTAGATGTTAACTAGTTGACCACATGTGGAGACATAAGGAAGTAGGAAGGCTTTCATAGGCCATTTCAAGCAAAACAAAACGGCATGTAACCTAATGGATTTACAGAATAGACAAATTAAGTTAGGGAGTGACGATTCCTTTTGTAAAGGATTTTCTATGGCTTTCCTTTATAATGAGCTCCCATAACGTATTTAAAGCATGATTTCATTTACAGAAGTTCTATTTCAATCCAACCTTCCAAAAAAGTATCAAACTTGAATGAAACAAGATAGAAAATGAAATTCATTTCAGATCAAATTGAAATAGGGTCTATGAAAAGATAGCAATACCCTAAATAGAAGAGTGAAATTACAACCTATTAGTGAAGATAAAACTAACATATTATAAATATGCAAATGTGTCAGACACATTTAGGCATAAAGCATCTATTGAATGCTAAACAACCCCGGGGTAGAAGGACTAAAGCAACAACTTCAGAGGATTTTACAATCTGCAACAATGATGGGTAAAATGACCAATGATTTTCATGCCCCTGAATGGGGAAAGGATGCTAGTTCTGACAAGCCAACCACCACCACCACCTCCAATTAATCTCCTTGCTTTAGTTGACACCCTTACCCTTAGCCTTAGTCATGCTTAGTGCTTTTTCTGCAGTTTCCATACTACCGTGCAACAATTGGAGTCCAAACCAAAGTGGCAAAGGAAAGGACATTTTGGAAACTTTAAGATTAAGACCTAGAACTACAGAACAGAAAGTTTCAAAATTTAGTGATGTGTGCGCCTTTCTCTGTCATAGGACATTATGAGGATACAAAAATATGGAAATATTAAGCAAAATTTAAACACTTTTTATTTTGAAATAATTGCAAGATAGTACAAGGGACTCTCATATACCCTTCATCCAGATCCACCAATTGTTAACATTTATCATATTTGCTTTATTAATCTCATTCTTTATCTATCTATTGAATCATTTGAGAGCAAATTGAGACATCATGCCCCTTTACCACTAAATACTTCAATGTGTATTTCCTAAGAACAAGGACATTCTCTTAACAAGACCACAATAAAATTATCCAAATGGGGAAATTTAATATGATTACAGTATTATCTTCTAATATACAGTCCATATTCAAATTTTGCCAATTGTCACATTAAGGTTCTTTATAGCTATTTTTCCTAATCCAGGATCACCTAAGGATTTAGATCTCTTGTCTCTTTAATCGTTTTTTTGGTCTCCTTTTTTGTTTGTTTTTTTTTTTTGTTTCTTTTTTCTTTCTTTCTTTCCTAGGCTTTAATTTACTCTTTTAATTGGCACAAATCCTTAGTCTTTGTCTTCTATGATATTAATATTTTTGAAGAGTATAGGGCAGTTATCCAGATTTGTTGACCTCAAATACAGGTTATGCATTTCTCTTTGCAGGAATACTACATCATGTTATGTCTTTTTCAAGATATTTTATCAGGAAGCATCTGATGTTCATTCCTCCCATAACTCATGATGTTAATTTTGATCGTTTGGTTACAGGGATGTGCACCAAATTTCTCTACTGTAAACTTCTTTCTTATCTTTGTAATTAATATGTAATTCTGGGGAGTTATTTTGAGGCTATGCAAATATTATATTCCACACCACACCTTTACTTTCTAGTTTTAGCATCTTTTGATGATTCTTGCCTAAATTAATTTTGTATTGAGATATAATTCATATATTATAAAATTCACTACTGTAAACTGTACAATTCAGTGGTTTTTAGTATATTCACAGGGTTGTGCAGCTATCACCACTATCTAGTTGCAAAACATATCATCACCTCAAAAAGAAATCCCTGCATCCTTTAGCATTATTCCTCTTTCCTGCACTCCCTCCAGCCTCTGGAAACCATTAATCTACTTTCTGTCTCTATGGATCTGGCTCCTTCGGACATCTCATATAAATGGAATCAGGCAATATGTGGTCCTTTGTGTCTGGTTTCTTTCATTTCACATAATGTTTTCAAGGTGCATCCAGAAAGTAGTTTTAGTCAATACTTCATTCTTTTTTATTTGCCTAAATAAATGATTACTATGATTCTTGAAACAGATGATATTCTAACTACATCGTTCCATCTACACTTATTAGGCAACATTATGTTTATCATTTATTTTATCATTTATCCTATTTTGTCAGGAAGCACTTTAAGAAAACGGCACAGGTGAACTTTAAAAGACAAGGGTTCTCTTGCCCTCAAGTCGTTTCCAATCTTAGACGAAAGGGCCTACGGAGATCACCTTTCCAGGGCTTTACATGATCTTCATTCATTTCCACTTGAACAAACAGTAATGTGTCCATCTCTCTCCGCCTGTCATCCCATTGGCTCCGCCCCCTCCTCCAGGTGCCCCCTCCCCGGAGGCTCAAGAGGAGGAAGTGACGGGCCGGAAGTGTCCCTGTTCCCCTTGCAGCGGGGGGAAGGAATCAAACCCCCAAGATGGCGGCGGCGTCGGAGGAGCGGATGGCTGAGGAAGGAGGCGGCGGCCACGGCGACGGCGGCTCCTCTTCGGCCATCGGCTCTGCCCAGCGACTGCCTCCACCGCCCCCGCCCCAGCCCCCGCAGCCGGGCTCGCAGGCGCCCCCAGCCCCGGCGCTGGCTCCGGACCAGCTGCCTCAAAACAACACGCTGGTGGCGCTGCCCATCGTAGCCATCGAGAACATCCTCAGCTTTATGTCCTACGACGAAATTAGCCAGCTCCGCCTGGTGAGGCCCCCGCGGGACCCCGCCGCCCTCTCCGCCGGGCCGAGGTCTGGGGAGGGCCGGAGAGGGGGGCGCGTTCCCCGGGGAGGGAGCCCCCCGCGAGCCCCAGCCGGAGCACGGGGCACGTCCCTCCCGCCCCAGTCTCTCGGCGGCCGTCCGCGGGGCTTGTCCCGATCGCGCCCTTCCAGGCGGGGCTGGGGCGACGGCCCGAGGGAACTTCGCCCTGGGGGGGCTCCGTGCCCCCCGCCTGGATGCAGGGCCGTGGGCGGGGAGGTGGCGGGAGTTGGGCTCCCCACCTCCGCCCGGGCTGAGCGGGGACACCCGAGGGGCTGGTCGCCTGCCTTTTGTAGATATCACCTTCCAGCCCCCGGCCGGCTGGGGGAGAAAACTCCCAAGTAGGCGAAATGATCCCAGCCGGCTTTGGGTTGTCTGCCCGATTAACGCATTGTTCCCCAACCACCCAAGTTTCCTTGTTGGAGAGGATAAAGTAGGGTTGGTCCGTTCCCCCCAAACCCGGTAGGGTTCTGAGGATTTGGAACGCGTCTGCGTAGCCTCAACCCCAGCGCCCCAGTTGACCCATAAAGTCGAGCCCTGAGAAATGACCGTTCCGGCCTTGCCTGGCCCATGACACTTCCCACCCCGAGTGGAGCAACTTGCCCCTTGACACGGTGGTTTGCTCTCTTGCAGTTCATTTTCGAACTACTCCAATGGTTTACGCCCACCCGCCAGCTTTAGGAGAGGTTTTAGACCCTAAAATCAGTAGTGGAGTCAACGATTTATTTTTTAATTGCCATTGGGGTTTTACTTCACCCCAGAGGTTTGCCTGAAGGTTTGATGTCTTAGTTCACTCAGTTATTTTTGCTTCCGTTCAGTGAATTTATAAGTGGTAAGGAAATTGAAGGAGGTGGACATTTTGAAATGATTGCAAACCGATTCTGTGTAGAAGCTGAATCTGTGCTCAGAATTGTTTGTAAGCGGACAAAGACATATTTATGAGTGTGCTGTGTATAGCGTTTTCTTATTACTATACCATATTTTAGGTTTGCACCTTCAGTTTAAAATTTATTATAATTGCATTTTTGAAAGGAAATCACACTTATTTTTTAAAGAAAGCTTATTAATATTAATTCAAACTGATAACAGATATTTTATCTAGTCAACATGCAGTTCAACCATGCCAGTCTGCAGGGATGGAAAACGGTTCATTTGAAAAGTAATGTTTCTAAATTGTCCCTGAATTTCCAAAACACGTCATCCTAGAATTTCATGTAGAATCTTACATATTTCCTCAAATTTTTATACAGAATGGTGTTTGATCGAGATTTATGCTATACATTCGTTATGTCTGGCAATTGGGCATAACGTTTGATTGAATTGAGCCTTTCAGCCAGACAATGGCTTTGTAAAGCTTCAGTTGTATGTTTTGAGGAAAACTGTGGTTTTTTGTTCATTTGTTAGTCGTTTTACTTTTTTAAAAATTAAAAACATTTTTAAAAGGGGAGAACCTGCCTATCCTAGGAGACAGAGTTAAAACATCCCACAGTTTAATAAATGACATCTCATTCAAGTGGAATATTCAGCTGCATGCTTAATTTTTAAGCATTTATCTCTTCTAGCCTTTTAAGGATACAAATTTGTAGTTTCAAAGATTTTTCATAAGGAGACCCTTAGCAACCCTCTAAGCAGCCCCCCCCCAAAGACTCTGCAGCCAGTTTGCTATCTCAAAGACAGGTTTTTTCTCTGCTTTAGTAACTATTCTCTTAGTCTTTTCTTTACTTAAGGTTAATGGATAATTTTTAGATTAAATGGATAATCTTTTGTGGGGATTTGGAAATATCTTTGGTTTTAGATTCATTGGTTCGGGATCATAAGTTACAATTCCGATAACGTTATAAAGGAAAGATATTCTTTCTTGCCACTAGATGTCAGCATTAATTTAATTATGATCTTTTTATGAACTAGGCAGTCTAGAGGCAGTGCCTGGTAGGTGCTTTATGCCTTTTCTATTTAAGTGGCCATTTATACCTAAAGAATTGTTTGCCAAAAAAATCAAGGAACTTTAGTATGTATGCTGCTATCTGGTGTATAAATTACATAGTTCCTTTTATTGTAAGTATTTTTTTGAGTGGAATTAAGGCTGGATATGCTTGGAAGAGAGTGATACTAATTAAGAACAGAGTTCGTTTCCATAAATCTAAGTGTCAACTATTCGGTGGCCGATGAGCTAGTTTATGTATTGTTCAGATGTTTGGTTTTTTTCTTCCTTCCCAGCTTGCCTTATTAGGACCTAGTCATGACTATTGTTAGCACCTAAATTAGAGGACAGGTACATAATCCATGTACTTATTAAGATTTGCTCCAAGTTGAAATTGCTAAAATACCGGTTTTCAATTATTCGTGCAGTTTAGTTGATGATAGTCTTTGCTTCCTCTTGCCACGAATAATTGAAATTTGACTCTCCAGTCCAGTTATTTCCAAAAGACTGGCCAAATGCCTTTTTTTCTTGCCATTGTCTGTTGCTCCAAAAATGTACCCAGAGCCTGGAAATCCTGGTTGCACAGAAATAGTTCTTTAAATATTTAACTCCGATGTACTTAAAATTATTTAGCTGAACACAGCTTTTGAAATGACAAAACATGTACTTTGAGTTGTTTTTCCAGCAAATCAGACAATTTGTGCTGATGTGGCATTAGACTGTTTACCTAGGCCCCCTTGACAGGTAGGTATTCGGGTTTTTAAACCAAGTGGCAAAGGTTAAGCAGAGAGGTGCTACCCCTAGTTAGGAGCAGATCAAAGCCAGCTTTGATCGTATAACTGTGACTCATGAGTGCAGTGTTCACTCACTGAAGAATGAGTATGGGAGGCTTTTTAAAAGATGTTTTAGAGAGAGCCTATCAATTTTTTTTCCTGTGTGGTTTGAGTGGAGCACCTATAAATTTAATGGAATCCTGTTAGTGGTTCAGGACATAAATTTGACTAAAGGTTAAATTCAGAAGTCTTGCTTATTTGGAATGAAATTTTCTAGTCAGTAACAGAATACATAACATACATGCTTTCATCCCAAGATATTTCTCTAGAGCACTCTAGCTAGTTAAATCTGTTACCCATTTATGGTTCCTTTCACATCTTTTCTTCAAATGTATTAGAAAATTTCAGTTTTAGAGAGGGTTGATTGGTAGGAAATATGAAGGAAAATGAGAAACCATTACTTTTTTCTTTTTTTTTTTTTAATAGGAAAACTGTCTTCCTCATATCCCTTGCTCTATATGAGTGGTTCTCAAATTTTTTTTGTCTCAGGGCATCTTTGCACTCTTAAAAGTTATTGAGGGGCCGGCCCGTGGCTTAGCGGTTAAGTGCGCGCGCTCCGCTGCCGGCGGCCCGGGTTCGGATCCCGGGCACGCACCGACGCACCGCTTCTCCGGCCATGCTGAGGCCGCGTCCCACATACAGCAACTAGAAGGATGTGCAACTATGACATACAACTGTCTACTGGGGCTTTGGGGGGGGGAAATAAAAATAAATAAAATCTTAAAAAAGTTATTGAGGACCCTAAGAGCTTACCTTAGAAAATTCTAGAAAACACAAGAATACACAGTACCTATTCCATCAGCTGTTAGAACAATAATGTCGAGGCCAGCCCAGTGGCACAGTGGTTGAGTTTGGTGCAGGTTCGAATCCCAGGTGCGGACCTACGCCCCACTTATCAAGCCACACTGTGGTGGCATCTCACATAAAATAGAGGAAATTGGGCACAGATGTTAGCTCAGGGCTAATCTTCCTCACACAAAAAAAACAATAATAATATCTTCACATATCATGTTGCCTCTGGAAAACTCCACTGTATGTTATGAGAGAATGAGAGTGAAAATAGCAAATAACATCGTAGTATTATGAAAATAGTTTGGCCTAGCAGACCCTGGAAAGCATCTTGGGAACCTCAGGGGTCTCTAGACTCACTTTGAGAACCACTGCTCTGTATTGCTGTATTATAGAGAATACACTGTATTGCTGATTTTTGTTTTTTTCCCACCATCTCATCAGGTTATTGATTTTATTAACAGGTACTTAAGTACAGGTAAGAAACTAGAATATCTCGACAGTTCATTCTTCCTGCAGATTCTAGTCTCAAAGTGAAGGAGTTCAATCAGTAACCCTGTTCACAATGCCATCATTGAGACAGAATGTACACACCTACCTTGAGCACACTTACAAAGCACCCGGATAACAAACGCAAAGATAGTAAATGCAAGAATGGTGAGGTTAATCAGGAGAGGCTTCCTCAAGATGAGGAGTTTCTATCCAGTTAGTAAAGGTGGAAGAACATTCCCAGCAGAAAAAGATGATGTATAATGTAATGAAGTAATTGGAGAAGGGTGACTCAGTAGAGGGGTTAAGATGAGACTGAATTTGGATGTGTGAAGTTTTAGATGTCCTAGATCAGTGGTCAGACTCCCCCTACTTTCCACCTTTTATTTCACAGACCGGTCAGATTTAAGAAATCATTTTTGAGAACCTCCAGGGTTGACAACTTTTGGTGCGGGGAGCAGGTAAGGATGTTAACAAAACAAAAGTTCTGTCTCATATCATCATCGTTATTTCGTAAAAGAGACCAGATGTACCTGTGTACCCTGGTAAACGGAGTGGTACAGGTTCTTACGAAATTGAAGAAGGTGCTGTCTTAAAAGCATATAAATCCAATTTCATGATTTTTGAGAGTAGGAGCAAAAGATAACCTTGGGTAGGTTTCTGCCAACTACTTAGCATCTTGCACTTAAGATTGATTAAAACAGACATCAAGCTGTTTAGTTTCCCAAACGCCTTAGGCCTCTCCAAGCACTTGCTTTTTCTTCTGCCTACAGCCTCTCCTGTTTCCCTCTGCTAGAAAATATTGGTACCTTCAAGATACAACTCAAGTGTTAGTACCTCAGTAAAGCCTTCTGTGATTCTTTGAACTTTACTCAGGTAGTATTTCTAATTTCCCATTACATCATTATTGCGCTTAT